TATTTGACAGAGAGAGACACAGCGAGAGAGGGAACACAAGCAGGGGGAGTGGGAGAGGGAGGAGCCCGCTTCCCACTGAGCAGGGAGCCCGATGCTGGGCTCGACCCCAGGACCCCAGGATCATGACCTGAGCTGAAGGCAGACGCTTAACGACTGAGCCACCCAGGCGCCCCTCACTTTTTTATTTTTAAAGCAAAAAAAAAAAGAATCTACAAATTTGAAAACTTTGCTAAAAAGGAAAAACAAAGGCTCCCTCTGGCTGCTGTATGGAGAACAGACACTACTACCAGGCAAGAGCAGAAGCTTGGAGGCACTTAGATCCTGGAGCTTCGATCATTTTACTTCTGTTATTTCTGAATTATTTCTTGAGGGACACAAAAAGTTTGGTCTGGGTGTTACTGCGACTGCTTAGCTTCCTTGGTCTTAGGAACTGCCAAGAAATAAAGGTGCTGCCACTGGGCAAGCTGGTGGGGTCCCCAGTTTGAGGATCTGAGACAGGTACCACCTGATGTTGTAATCTCGTACGTAGCACTGGGCTAACCCCCATGGAGCGCCAAGCACCACCTGAATCCACTTCAGCTTGACCACACCATGAGCTGATGGGCTGTTGCATCATTATCTCTGTTGCAGCAGACCCTCTGGTGGCTCGTGTCCCCTCCTCTCAGTCCCCTGGGATTTCAGTGTAGGGGGACAGTTCCTACAAGCTCTGAGTCACCTCTTGCTGACAGTATCACATTTCAAGTCTGCACCACACTATACCTGTTCCTCCCACCCCTTCCAACTCCACAGGGCAGCCCAAAAGTGGGGTGCTAGAGAATATGGGTGTAATGATCACAGATAACATCAGCATAATGCGTGTCCCCTAATAGGATACATTCAAACAGACTGCCATTCACTGGATGTGTCTCCCCAAAATGGGCATGTTGAAAACGAACTCCCAAGGTGATGACAGAGGTGAGGCCTTTAGGAGGTGGTCAGGAGGGCGGAGCCCTTGTGCATGGGATTTGGGGCCTTTATATAAAAGACAAAAAAGTAGATGGTGGGTGCCAGAGGCTGGGGTGGGGAGAAGGGGATGGGGAATACGTGTTTCATAGGAACAGAGTTTCCATTGAAAAGAGTCCTGGAAATGGATGGTGGGGACGGCTGCACAACAGTGTAGACGTACTTAATGTTGCTGAACTGGACGCTTAAAAATTGTTAAAATGGTCAATTTTATGTTATGTCTATTTAATTGCAATTTTTAAAACTGATTTTCCAGGTATAAAACTACGATCATATTTCCGCTAGCAGTTGTGTTCAAGAAAAAAGAAGGCACAACCTCAATATAACTGTGAGAAAACAGCAGGAGGGACTTTCTACAAAACACCTGGTCAGAACGCTTTAAGATCGCGGAAGACAAGTAAAGCCTGAAGGTCTTTCATGGACTGGCAGACAAACAGATGTGACAGCTAAGTGAAACGTGATGTCCTGGATGGGTTCCTGAACCAGATAAAGGAGACAAAGGACACTAGTGGAAAACCTGGTGAATTCCTTTTTTTTTTTTTTTTTTAAGATTTTATTTATTTGATAGAGAGAGACAGAGGGAACACAAGCAGGGGGAGTGGGAGAGGGAGAAACAGGCTTCCCGCTGAGCAGGGAGCCCTATGTGGGGCTTGATCCCCGGACCCTGGGACCATGACCTGAGCCGAAGGCAGACGCTTAATGACTGAGCCACCCAGGGGCCCCTAAGATTTTATTTTTTTAAGTAATCTCCACACCCCACATGGGGCTTGAACTCATGACCCTGATGATCAGAAGTTGGATGCTCTACTGACCGAGCCAGCCGGGTGCCCCTGGGTGAATTCCTTTATAACCTCAGATTGGTGAAGGCTTTTCTGCTTATGAATCAAAATCCGGAGTCGTTAAAGGAAAGATTGATACACTGGCTTTATAATGCTAAATTTAGAAATGACAAAATAAAAGTAAAATTAAAGAACAGATGATAAAAAATATTTACAGTTCATATCACAGGAAAAGGCTGATGCCCCTAACATATACAGTGTGCCTAGAAGTTGATAAGGGAAGGATAGCAATCTAGGCAGAAAATGGACACAGGAGATAGTTCAAAGAAAAATATAAATGGCCTTTAGATTTATGAAAGATGCTTCATGATGAGAAATTGTCATTTGAGCTGAATAGGACTTGGCTGGTGAGCTGGCATGTGGGGAGGTGATGGGGCCTGGTGACACTTGGCAGCATGTGGGGAGTGAGGAGATGAGAGGGGCCCTGGATGGTGTGTGCACGGGGAGGCCTCAGGGCCTGTTCAGAACTTTGTACTTCACCTTGAGAGCAATGAGCAGCTGTTGAAAAGTATTAAATAGGGAAATGACATGATCAGATTTGTATGTTATGTCTAAAAAAGACAGTTTTGTGGAGTGCCTGGCTGGCTCAGTCGGTGAGGTTAAGCCCCATGTTGGGTGTAGAGCTTACTTTAGATAGATGGATGGATGGATAGATAGATGGGTAGATGATAGATAGATAGATGGATAGATAGACCAGTTTTGTGATTTCATTCTAAAATGACCACTTCAGGGTATGAAGCTAGGGCTAGAGGGCAGCCTCTCTCCTTCTTCGGCCAGCCGTCCCTCCACTCCTGCTGTGTCTCCCACATCCTCACCACTGTTGGAACCGCAGTGAGAAAAGGACAAGGTTCTAGAGCTTCCTTTGGAACAGAGTGTGGCAGACACTAAGCTGTGGAGAAGATCATTCCCGATGACGATAAGAGCTGAAAGGACTTGGAACAGGTGGTAGGATGGAGCAGGTGGTAGGGGGCCCAGTGAGGCCTTCTGAGGAGGTGACGTCGCCCAAGGTCTGAGGAGTTGGGAGAAGCCAAGTGGTAGGAGCTGAACTCAGAGAAACGGCAGAGGCCAAGGCATGTCTGACTTTGCAGGCAGAGAGCAGAAGCTGGGCTTTGCTGTGAGTGCCGTGATAAGCCACTGAAGGGTTTATTTATTTATTTAAACTTTTTTCTTCTATTTATTAGAGAGAGAGAGAGAGAGCGCATAAATGGGAGGAGGGGCAGAGGGAAAGGGACAGGCAGACTCCCCGCTGCGCCCAGGGCCTGTCTCAGGCCCCAAGATCATGACCTGAGCCAAAGTCAGACGCTTAACTGACTGAGCCCCCCATGCGCCCCCCTGCCTTGAAGGCTTTTAAAGACTGGTCAGGAGTTTGTTGCTGTTGTGCAGAGATGAGGGTGGCTTGTAAGGGCCGGTGGTGGTGGAGACAGAAGTGAAGAGCTATTTAGTGGGGAGACCCGGCAGGAACTGCTGATGGACTGGCAGGTGGATGGAGGGCAGTGAGGCACCGAGGTCTGTCTCCATTTTGCCATGTGCAGTTGGGCCATTTGCTGGGTGGTTGTCTAAGGCTACAGACGATGGGAGTGCAGGGACAAGGCCCGAGCAGGAGCAGATTTGGAAAGTCCAGATGTGGGAGCGAGCTGGCCCCTGCTGTGCCCTCTCTTCTCTCCACAGCTCTCCTCCTTGACACAGGCTCACCAGGAGGCTCTTTCCAGTTTGACCAACAAAGCTGAGGGCCTGGAGAAATCTCTGAATAGTCTGGAAACCAGGAGGGCAGGGGAAGCCAAGGAGCTGGCTGTGGCCCAGAGGGAGGCTGAGGTGCTACAGAAGCAGCTGAGGTAAAGTGGGGGTGGGCAGCTAAAGGGGGACCTGGCAGGTGGTGGATGCGGCGGGTCTCCCAGGTGCCTCATGATGGCTGCCCTGTTCCCACCCCAACCCTAGCAAGACCCAAGAAGACTTAGAGGCACAGGTGACCTTGGTTGAGAATTTAAGGAGATATGTGGGGGAGCAAGTCCCTCCTGAGGTCCACAGACAGACCTGGGAATCGGAGCGACAGGAGCTTCTAGAAACCATGCAAGTGAGAGAGTATAGGGTGCATCTGGGTGGGGGCTGGAGGTGGGGTGGGGGGGCTCAGGGATCAGATCCTGGGAGAGGGGTGGCCAGGAGAGAAGGCAGTGCTGACAAGGGGCAGCGTCCGGAGGCCGCTTGTGGGCCTGCGTGAAGGTCCCACGGAGGCCACTGCTGTCCCTTCCTCTCCCACCCGCAGCACTTGCAGGAGGACCGGGACGGCCTGCGCACCACAGCGGAGCTGCTGCAGGTGCGTGTGCAGAGCCTCACGCACATCCTCACCATGCAGGAGGAGGAGCTGACCAGGAAGGTAGGCCCCTCGCCCCCAGTGGCTCCTGTGGGTACCAGCGGTCGGCGTGCTGCCAGAACCTGCTGCGATCTTCTTTTCGGTGAACACCTCTTCTTGCTGTGGCTCTTGTTGCTTGGGCAGGACAGAAAAAAAGGCCCAAAACACGCCTCCTTGCTCTGCTGCCCCAGGAGCCCACACTGCCACCCCTCCTCCACCCCGCAGGTTCAGCCTTCAGATGCCCTGGAGCCCGAGTTCACCAGGAAGTGCCAGTCCCTGCTGAAGCGCTGGCGGGAGAAGGTGTTTGCCCTCCTGGTGCAGCTAAAGGCCCAGGAGCTGGAGCACAGAGGCTGCGTGGAGCAGCTGAAGGGACAGGTCACTTGACTCTTTCTCCCCGAATTCTCCCCCCGGCTCCTGGCTCCTTACGTAGGGATGGTACTTATCCAACAAAGATTTATTGAGTGGTTACCGTGTGCTGGGAACACAGCCCGGGACAGAGGCGAGCACTGCTGTTATGGAGCTTACATTCTGGAGCAAGCACTTAGATGATGTCAAGTAATTATGTGTGTTTTCAAGAAAAGTGTAAAAGTGTGACAGAAAGAGACCATGGGGTGGGCCGGCTTTAGGCAGGATGCTCAGGAACGGCTTCTCTGAGGAGGTGACAGTGGCCAAGCATGGGTGGCATGGGCAGAGGCGGTCAGCCTTTGTGGGTATGTCACAGCGAGCTTCCTCAAGGTGTGGGCCCATGGAACATGCTTCTGGAAGGAAACCTGGACTCAGACTCCATTCTCAGGAACCCAGGCTTGTCTCCCTGCATGATGTTCTTTCAGAGATTTTGGCACCAGCGCCTCCATCCCCAGTGCCCCCCTGCAGCTTTCCGCTCTAGCTGTGCCCTGTTCTGTCCTCCCCTCCCCCCCCAGGTGGCAGAGCTCCAGGAAAGAGCTGTGGCCCAGAGCCAGGAGCAGGCCATCCTGCAGCGCTCCCTACAGGACAAAGCTGCAGAGGTGGAGGTGGAGCGGATGGGCGCCAAGGTCTGTGGCTGAGCCAGGCAGAGGCTAAGGGGGCGGGTCAGGGATCCCTCCCGCCACTCCCCCCAAAACACCGGTGAGGGGACCCCTCTCCTCACTGTATCCCTCCCAGGCCCTGCAGCTGGAGCTGAGCCGGGCTCAGGAGGTCCAGCGCCGGAAGCAGCAGCACACGGCCATGGCCGAGGAGCAGCTGAAGCTGGTGGCCGGCTCTGTTAGCAGGTATCTGGGACGGAGGGGTGTGCAGTAGCATTTCTGCTTCCCTGGCTTCCTGGGCACCGTGGAGTTTAAGAGCCCAGGCAAGAGGGGCTGGGAAGCTGGCCGTTGGAGGGTGCAGGGTGAGAGGTGTCTGGCCCTATAAGAGTTCCTGTGCTTGTCTTTCCCTGGGGCAGCCTGCTCCATGTTCACACGAGGGTTGCTTGTTAGGCCTCGCATGCGTGTTTGGTCGGAGGTGAGGCCACGCTTCCTCCTATAGTTTGGTTCACCTGGGAGGATCGCCACCTTCAGAGTTGCTCGAGGATGGAGAGTGTGGCTACTCCCATCTTTCTTTCTTTAATATATTGCAGATACGCCCTGTTTCGTTGCAACCAAATTTAACCTATATTCTAAAGCTGTGCACCTATGGTTTACTAGATGGTCTATCTAAAATGTATGCTGGTTTCCTTCTTAATCGTTTGCCAGCCTGTGTCTCTCATACCCACTTCCGGGGTGTTTCCTTCTCGACGCCTGTTTTATAACCTTTAGAAAGACCTCTGAGGAGGAACACACACTTCTTTGTGCTGGTAACACCCCTCCTCAGCTTTGGAGTTGGGGATACTGACGTGGTCCTCGTAAACCTCCAGCACAGTGCCTGGCGTGTTATCTGACTCTAAATGTTTACTGTTACCGTGACGCTGTTCTGTACGGATCACGGAAGAATTATCGGTGTAGCAAAATTGTGGTGTCGGATAGGTCCTTGCCCACCATCACTTTTTTTTTTTTAAGATTTTATTTATTTGAGAGAGAGAGGGAGAGTGCAAGCACAAGTAGGGGGGAGGAGCAGAGGGCGAGGGTGAGGGAGAAGCAGACTGCCCACTGAGCGGGGAGCCTGATGCGGTGCTCGATCCCAGGACCTTCAGATCATGACCTGAGCTGAAGGCAGACACTTAACCAACTGAGCCACCCAGGCGCCCCTCCACCATCACTTTCTATTGGGTTAGTACCTTGAGGACTAATTTCACTTAAAATATTATGAAAAATTTCCACTTTGTACAGAATTAGACTAGCTATAATGAACCACCCAGATTCTACTCATTGTGCATGCCCCCTGTTTCCAGGAGAACGGGAAGGTACGCTGTGCACAGGGTTTTTTTTTTTTTTTTTTAAAGATTTTATTTATTTGACAGAGAGAAAGACAGCCAGAGAGGGAACACAAGCAGGGGGAGTGGGAGAGGGAGAAGCAGGCTTCCCGCGGAGCAGGGAGCCCGATGCGGGGCTCGATCCCAGGACCCCGGGACCATGACCTGAGCCGAAGGCAGATGCTTAACGACTGAGCCACCCAGGTGCCCCTGCGCACAGGGTTTTATTACTTTGGCACTAGGACATCACTGAAATGGTTCTTGCTAATGATTGATGGCCAAAGTCCACGAGGCTTGAAACAACCCACACTCAGATTGTTGTCAGGTTTGTGTGTGTGTAGATGGCCTGGAGGTTTTATCAGAAAATGGGTTTGTAAGAGCCACAGGAGGTGTTGGAAACACCTGCTCAGACAATTTTTAGATAAAGGGTCTCTGCTGTGCTGACAGGCATACAGCTGTCAGCCTTTGTCGTCTGCTTGTTTTTCAGTTGATACAGACTTGGACTCTCCTGGAGAGTTCCGTCCTTGCCCCGGGATGCTGCCTTGGCCCTCCTCCCAGGGCCTGTGTAAGCTTTTCAGCTTTGACGAGCCATACTGGTCCCGCTTTGGGCACAGCGAGCTGATAAAGCACATGGATCTGGCCTTCACTGTCATCGGGAAATTGTTAGGATAGCTTTGATCTCTAATGCATATTAGTGATCAAAAAATAGGTTATGAGAAATAAACTTTGCAGGTTGCTTGAAAAGATACACCGCCATGTAATGCCTTCTTTGGGGTAAGGGCTCCTTAGAAAACTGATGGAAGCTATGCCCTTTGTTCTTGAGGAAATGTACCTAAGTTCATACACCCAAACGTGGCATACAGCACCAGGAGACTTCCAGAGCCAGGAGACATGTCCAGGGGCCTGCAGGCAGAAAAGTCCAAATCAGCTAGAGATGAGCCAGCTTTATGGCACTCATTTTAGCCCCTGCAGAATCGTTTGTACTGAACTCTGCTGTGTTATGGGCTCTGGGTCCAGATCAGGTGTGACCCCTTGAAGTTTGTTCTTGTTTTTACTGCTCTTATTAAAGACACTGATTGCTAGGATCCAGATGAGAAGCTTACCCTAGGTTTTGGGACCAAGCATAGCTGTGCTGTCGTTATGAGTAACGGGATTATTTTTAACAAACACTAAAGGGCTTAAGCTCTCAGGTTTTCTTCTTCATCGGCTGAGAAAGCTCAGACATGACTGGCCCCAGCCCTTGGCTTCAGCTTCTCTTTTCCCTGCTAGGATTTTCCCTTCCCTGCTCTCCACATACTTAGCAATATAGGATAGAAGGAGTTGTCCCGACAAGTCACATCAAGTCCTTTAGGGAATGAGGTGGGGTTGAAGGGTCAGTGACCTTGTGCCTCCTCCAGCTTTCAGACCTGGCTCCAGAGCACCATGGCTGAAGTGGAACGCGCCATAGCCCAGCTGCCCTGCCTCAGCAGCCGAGTCAGTTATGCCATCCGCAGGGTCCACACCATTCGGGGTGGGTAGGGCGACTGACGGCCACGCTGTACTCCCGCCCCTCCGGCTCTCGCCCCCCACGTCCATCCTCATGCCTACTTGTCACCAGTCTGGGCATCCTTCCCCCTACTTCCCCCCTTCCCTTTTCTCCTCCTCGAACTCCTCTCTGTTGCTTTCTGCCTTTTCTCACCCAGGCCTGATGGCTCGAAAACTGGCCCTTGCTCGCCTGCGCCAGGAGAGGTGAAGTTTGGGGCGCTGTGAGGTGGATGGGAGGGGGTTAGGTGTTGTTTGCTGGGACCCCACACAGTGAGGACCGAAGAGGGAAGGGGGCTTCAGGATCAGGCTGGGTGATTTCCCGACTTTCTCTTCCCTGCCCCAGCTGTCCCCCACCCCTGCCGGCCACAGATGTGAGCCTTGAGTTGGAGCAGCTGCGGGAAGAACGGAACCGCCTGGATGCAGAACTGCAGCTGAGTGCCCACATCATCCAGCAGGAGGTGGGCCGGGCCCGCGAGCAGGGTACGCCTGGTCCTGGAGTCACTGAGCTGGAGCAGGGGCCAGAGTTGGGTGTGCTGGGGATGGAGAGGAGGGGAGAGCTGGTGCCTGGGGCACCGAGAGGCCTGTGAGCGCCACCTTTTCACAGGGGAAGCGGAGCGGCAGCAATTGAGCGAGGTCGCCCAGCAGCTGGAGCAGGAGCTGCGGCGGACCCAGGAGTCCCTGGCTGGTGTGGGGCTGCAGCTGGAAGCCGCTCGCCAGGGCCAGCAGGAGAGCACGGAGGAGGCTGCCAGTCTCCGGCAGGAACTGATCCAGCAGCAGGAGATGTATGGGCAAGGTGTGCAGCAGGGGCAATGGGTGTACCGTGGAGGGCTGGTGGGGGGGAGCCGAGAAGCGACGCTCCCCGCAACACCCCATCTGCACCTTCCCCCCAGCTCTGCAGGAGAAGGTGGCTGAAGTGGAAACTAGGCTGCGGGAGCAGCTCTTAGAAACAGAGAGGAGACTGAATGAGGCTCGGAGGGAGCATGGCAAGGCAGGTGAGATTTGTTGGGACGGGCGTGGGCATCCAGGGAGAAGGAAGTGGTGGACACAAGGTTTTTTTAAAGCTGTAAATAATGAAGTTATCAAGAAATGGTACAGACCAATACTCAGGCGGTGAACACACTCCTCTAGCCAGCACCCATACCCAGCACCAGCACGTGACCGGCCCTGGAGCCCCCTGGGTCCCGTGCAGCCACTCCCCTCCACAAAGGCAAGGGCCATCCCAACCTCACACCAACCATTACCCCCAGATTTTTTCTTTCTTTCTTTCTTTCTTTTTTTTTTCCCCCTAAAACAATAGAAATTTATTCTCTCACAGTACTGGAAGCTGGAAGCTAGAAGTCTGAACTCAAGAGGCTGACAGGGTTGGTTGCCTGCTAGAGGTTCTGAGAGACAGTCTATATTTGATGATTCTCCCCTCCCTTCCAGTGGTTGCTGGGAATATGTTGCATCCCTTGGTTTGTAGGCACATCACTCCCTTCCGTCTCCATCTTTACACGGTGTTCTCTGCTGTGCGTGTCTACCCCCAACTTTTTTTTTTTTTTTATGATTTTATTTTTAAGTAATCTTCACACCCAACACGGGGCTCAAACTCACAAACCTAAGATCGAGTCATATGCTCTACTGACTGAGCCAGCCAGGTGCTCCTCCCCGTTTTATTAGGAAAAAGTTCAAATACTTGGACAGATTACAAGAGCCACATAATGCCCACTTGTGTACCTCCTCTGACTAGATGGAACAGTTATTAACCAATTTTTTTTTTTTTAAAGATTTTATTTATTTATTTGATAGAGAGAGACACAGTGAGAGAGGGAACACAAGCAGGGGGAGTGGGAGAGGGAGAAGCAGGCTCTCCGCTGAGCAGGGAGCCCGATGCGGGACTCGATCCCAGGACCCCGGGATCATGACCTGAGCCGAAGGCAGACGCTTAACGACTGAGCCACCCAGGCGCCCCTATTAACCAATTTTTTTAAAGATTTTATTTCTTTAAGTAACCTCTACACCCACCATGGGGCTGGAGCGCACAACCCCGACATCAAGAGTCATGTGCTCCCCCGACTGAGCCAGCTGAGCACCCAGCAGTTATTAATCTTTTGCCATATGTGCTCTATCCATATATACATATACACTGATACATGCATTTTTTGGGGAATCATTTAAAGTAAGTTACAAACGTCACGATCACCGAGCTGCATCTCCTACAAAGAGGATATAACTTGGATGTAGAGGAAATTTTCTTATATAACCTCAGTGTCATTGTCACCCATTAAGGAAACATTAATTGCACAAAATCGAATATCCAGTTCATATTCAGATTTCCCCTAAGCAGCTCCAGGAAGGCTCAGGGATGGGGAAGGTACTTTGGGTTCACGGAGTCAGAGGGTCGTAGAGCATCAGCCACCGCTCCCACCGTACAGAGGAGACCGCCCTGGAGCATAAACGGTTTCCCTGAGCTGTAGAGCTCAGGGCCCAGTGTTCCTGCCCAAGATTCCAGTCCTGTTCTCACGGTGCCTCAGTGCCACTGGGCTGCCCCACAGCTGTGCCCTCTGTGCCCTGGCTTCCACATAGTGGTCTCCCTGCGCCAGATGCAGCGCAAAGCCACCCGGGAGAAGGAGCGGAACCAGGAGCTCAGGCGCCTGCAAGATGAGGCCCGGAAGGAGGAGGGGCTGCGGCTGACCCAGCGCCTGCAGGAGCTAGAGAGGGACAAGAACTTTATGCTGGTAGGGGAGAGCAGAGGCCAGGGCCCTTGAGCTGGCTGGGGAGTGGAGGGGAGAAGGAGGAGGGGCGGCTCTGCCTGGGCTAGGTGGCGTTTAACCCTCTCCTTCCCAGGCCACCTTGCAGCAGGAGGGTCTCCTCTCCCGTTACAAGCAGCAGCGACTGTTGGCAGTTTTTCCTTCCCTGCTGGATAAGGGGAAGTCTGTGGAGTCCAGCCCTCGGGCCCCAGGGTCTTCAGCGCCTGCACCTCCAGCAGCAGCGCCCCCCACCAGGGAGTCCATAAAAGGTATGGTCCATGTAGGAAGGGACAAATGTGTGGGACTTTAGGAATCTCTCCTCTAGGCACTCTTAATGCATGAGCATCGTTCTCCATGACCTTCGAGGCCCACAGCCTCTCTCATCCATGCCTGCCTTGGGCCAGAGAACCCTCCCCCTCATAACCCTCCCATCTGGTGGCAGCCCTGTTCTCTGCACTGGAGCTGCCAACAGCCTTCTCCGGTCTGGCTGCTATCCCTTGGGGTGTTCTTTCCCAGGATCCCTCTCTGTCCTGCTCGATGATCTGCAGGGCCTGAGTGAGGCCATTTCCAAAGAGGAAGCTATCTCTCAAGGAGACAACCAGAACTGTCCTGCACCAGTCTGCCGCTGAGCAGCCGGGCACTCTGCGCAGCTGGGGGCTAAGGGGGGCGGGGGCGGGGAGGTCAGCCAGCTGCCCTCATGGACACCAGCCACCAAGATGCCTGTGAATCCTGTGGCTTAATAAAGATGACTACAGTAGGTGCCCTGTTCTCTCTGGGAATGGGAGGGAATTCGCCCTGCGGCCATCTCTGTCTGGAAAATGCGAGAAGTGGTCCCACGCAGCTATTTCTCTAGGTGGTGGTACCTTTTTTAAAACCCCTTTCCCAGGCTGCTTGGGAAGTTTTTTGAGAAGCTCCAGTTTTCTTTATTCTCAGCTTTTGTTTGAAAACTCTTTACCCCTGGAAGATGATCAGTGCCAGGAGGGAGGAATATAAAACATCACTCATGCGCTGGGAATCTCAGAGCCAGCCAGTGACCTTGCTCAGGGGCCACAGTGGTGGGCTTGACCAGGCAAGCGTTGCCATGGAGAGAAAAGCTACAGTGACGTGATAGAACCTGACGGCGGGGGGGGGCTAGGTGAGGGGACAGGAAGGGCCTCCCTGAGGAGGGGATATGTGGAGACCTGCCTGCCGTGAGGAGCCAGTGGTGCGGGCAGAGTCCCGGGGTGGGGGGGCTGGTAGCGCAGGGGGTTTATTCTAAGTCAGTAAAAAGCCCTTGGAGTACCTATCAAACAGAAGCGGCCATGCAATTAGGCTGACATGTTTAAGAGCTACGTTGGCTGGCTATGGAGGATGGGGTGTGGGTGGGGGAGGGACGAAAGGGGGGGACCAATTAGGAGGGTGCTGGGGAGGCTGGGGAGAGATGGGCTCCAGAATGGGGACATGGACTGGGCTTGCCTTGTGGGGGGTGGGGTGGGGGAAAGGAGCAGAATGAAGGCTTCGAAGTGAGCCACAGAGGGAGCCGACCAGGTGGAGAACAGCCTGGGGAGGAAAGGAGTTCTGTTTGGGAGGCATTACTTCTGAGAGGCGCACTAGACCTCCAGACCAGAGGAGGCCTTCCTGAGGAAGAGGTTCCGGGGCTCCCTGAGAGACTTAGACAAGACTGGGACTGAGGTCTGAAGGACAGGGGTGGGGAGGGCACAGAGAGCTGGCACCGAGGACCAGGGCAGTAGCCAGCGTGGAGCAGGATTCCAGAGGGAGGAGGAAGAGGCGGAGATGGACAGGAAGCAGAGGCAGCTTCCTCCTGAGCCGCTGGGCTGTGACTGTTGGAACGTGCTCTGGGGTGGGGATTAGGAATCAGGATGTCCTCATACTTCCTCACCTGCCATCACTCCAGGTGGCTCCTGGATGAAATTCTTTGGATGTCACCGCTTGGGAGGCTCCCTGGGTGCCTGAGGGAGGCACATGCTAGAAAGCAGCACCACGTTGGGCCCAGTCCTGAGGGGAGGGGAAGTTGCAAGGACAAAACTGAGTCCCAAGGGGGAGGCTCAGGGTACTGGCTGAGACCATCCTAGCTGCATCCTGTGTGTTTAGAAGGAGCACCTGCCCCTGCCCCTGCCCCGGCGTCCTGCCTCCCGGCCCCTGTAATTACACTGCTTCCCCACGCATGGTTTGCTCCCATTCCTTGGCTTCCAGTGGCTTCAAGGGATGAAATGTGGAAGTCCTTGTGATTATAGAGATGACAGGTGGGTATTGATTCCTGCAGGGTGTGTGTGGAGGAGGATGTGAATACAGGGGTGGGGTGACCAAGGTCCAGGTCATTGATAGAGCTGGGGTGGCTGAGTCCCAAAATGAGGGACGCCGCAGTCAGAGGTTACGCACTAGCCACGGCCTTCCAAACAGGTTTGACCAGTAGGTTCTAATGGGATTCCTTGTGTCACTGGGCTGGCCCCTCCCCAGAGGTTTGACACCTCCTCTCACTCCTCCCCTATAAAGCCTCTTGGGGTTCCCAGGCACCTAGACTCAGCCCACCCCCAACTTTGGGGGCCAGGAGACAGCCATGATGCTCAACTGGAGGCTGCTGGGGATCCTGGTCCTTTACCTGTATGCCGGAGGTAAGCTGGGAACAGGCCAGGGCTGCAATGTCAAGTGAGGCAAGGGTGAATTGGATGCATAGATATGGAGGAGATTCCAGAAGATTCTGGGTTTTCGCATGAGGGGAAGAGTTAAGAGGTTGAAGGTGATGCAGAAAAGTGCATTTTAGCTCAATGTTTTTGCTGGTTCAAGTGTAGGTACATGTGGCAATTTAGGTCAGAATCCAGGTGTGTGGGTGAGTATTCATCACAGCTGAGGACTGTGTGGAGGGTGGATGTGTTTGCAGAGGGTGGGGTCTGGCTGCCACATGGCCCAAGGTGTGGATGGCTTTGGAGGTGTAGACCAGCACAGAGGCCACGCCAGTGGGAGTCCCAATCAGGGTTGGATGGAGCTTATGTCAGCTCCTGTCGGTTTAAAGTTGGTCAAGTTAATGATTCTGGTCAAGGTTCTTATGTCATTTTAAGATCACTTGGTATTTTGTAAATGTGTGGAGAGCTCTTTGAGAGTTACCTTTCAGGTTTGTTTGTGTGTCAGCTCAGGCTGTGGTTCACCCCAGAGAGGCTCTGCTTCCAGAGTCTGTAGCTGGGGGAGGAGGGATCTGGCCCTCACCACCTTTTCCCTTTCTCCTACTTCCTCCACAGGTATCTCAGGCAGCGGAGAGCACCCCCCACCCCCACCCACAGAGGCTGGAGAGGAGGAGGGCTCCCCAACATTGCCTCAGGGACCCCCAATCCCTGGTGATCCCTGGCCAGGGCCACCCCCTCTCTTTGAGGACCCTCCACCTCCAGGCCCCAGTCGTCCCTGGAGAGACCTGCCGGAATCTGGAGTCTGGCCTCCTGAGCCCCCGAGAACTGATCCCCCTCAACCTCCCCGACCTGATGACCCCTGGCCAGCAGGACCCCAGCCTCCAGAAAACCCCTGGCCACCTGCCCCTGAAGTGGACCATGGATCTCAAGAGGACCCAGACCTTGACCCACCCCAGGAAGAGTACAGATAAAGGGATTCCCCCAGAGACATCTTGGGCCTCCAGGCAGAGTGCCCCTCAAGCCCATCTGTACCCTTCTGATTCCTCTTCAATTCTCCCATCAGCCTCAATTTCCTTCCTCATTCTTTCAGTTTTATTCTGAACTCTGAAAGTGTCATTCTCAATATTTTCTGTCCACTCTTGAGATCCGCCCCATATTTCCTCTCCTTTTTTCTCTGACAGCTAAAGCATACACCCCTACCTCATGTCCAGTCCTCTCCCTTCTACCTGCTTCCCACCTCCTCCCTCTTCCCCACCCCTGGGGCTCCTGGGGCCAGGCTGGTGGTGCCGTGTTCTCTGCTGCCACCTGGTGGCCTACAGCTGGGAACTATCAGGAGACCATGATGGTACTTCCATAAAATGGAAAAATAAAATCTGTGTTTTCTTAATTTTGAATCTCGTCTGCTTCTTTGCCAATGATTAGGTCTTTGAATATTGAGATGCCCTCCTCAGAGCACAAACCTACAGAGATCTGGAAGTAGTCTGAGTTCCTGTCTTGTCCATATGCATAAGGATGTGGAGCTCAGCAGGAGGAAGTTGGAAATATAACTATCGAGTAACAAGGACATTCAGACCCACATTTCTCCCATTCTGGAACTCCTATTTTGGACAATGAGAAACCAAATTAAGTCTCTTTTTAATAGCTTATGGTTTGCACACTCCTGGCTGAACATGAAAACTTTCTTAAAGGCATGTGGGCAGGACTAAGTTCTAAGAGGATCAATTTCCAGAAGTGTATGTATCCCTTCCTAAAATGAACCTGCCTGAGGACTGTACTGTGTTTTCCTTTTCCACCTGCCTCCACTAACAAACCACACTTCTCCCTCTAGATGGAGAAAGGCCTGGCTCTCTTGCTCACCCTGAACAGGACCAGAGTGCTCTTCCTGGAGTCGCCAAATAAAAGTGGGGGAACAGATCAGCCCTTTCCATCTCACTTAAGAGATACATCTTAAATAAGAACTTACTTTTCTGGGCGCCTGGGTGGCTCAGTCGTTAAGCGTCTGCCTTCAGCTCAGGTCATGGTCCCAGGGTCCTGGGATCGAGCCCCGCATCGGGCTCCCTGCTTGGCGGGAAGCCTGCTTCTCCCTCTCCCACTCCCCCTGCTTGTGTTCCCTCTCTCGCTGTGTCTCTCTCTGTCAAATAAATAAATAAAATCTTTAAAAAAAAAAACAACTTACTTTTCTGTTTAATCATTACCGTCAATATTTATAGTTTTGACAAATCGTGTCTTGTAATAATTGTAGTAATAAACCCGCTGCAGAGTAATTGTTTTTAGCACTTAGGGTCTTATAGTCACAGGAAATAAATTTCAATTTATATACATATTTTTGTTACGGAGATATACAAAAGGACTTCCCCCAAACACAACAAAATACCAAAAAAAGTGATACAATGGAAATGTATTTCATTAGGATAAAACTGTAGGGAGAGTGGAATGAAAAAAACTAAACAGAAATATAAGTTAAATTTGCTGATTGTTTAAAGGGTTTGCTCACTTATTTATTTTTATTTTTTTAAGATTTTATTTATTTATTTGAGACAGAGAGAATGAGAGACAGAGAGCATGAGAAGGAGGAGGGTCAGAGGGAGAAGCAGACTC